AAAGATTTTATTTATTTATTTGACAGAGAGAGAGATAGCGAGAGCAGGAACACAAGCAGGGGGAATGGGAGAGGGAGAAGCAGGCTTCTTGTCAAGCAGGGAGCCCGATGTGGGACTCGATCCCAGGACCCTGGGATAATGACCTGAGCCGAAGGCAGACGTTTAACGACTGAGCCACCCAGGCGCCCAAATAAATAAAATCTTTTAAAAAAGATGTTTGGCCTTAATAGAATCAAAGAAGTGCAAATTAAAATGGGACAGAATTTTCTACCTCTCAGGTTGTCAAAGATTAAAAAGAAGAATACGCAGTTTTGACCAGTGTGTGGAGAAAACAGTGATTCTCATTAATTGTTCCTGTGAATATAAATTGGGCCACTGTTCCTATGGGATAATTTACTCATCTTTTTTTTAAGACTTTATTTATTTGAGAGAGAAAGAGGGGGGAGGGAGCGCAGAGGGAGAGGCAGAAGTGGGCTCCCCACTGAGCAGGGAGCCCCATGTGGGGCTCGATCCCAGGACCCTGGAATCATGACCTGAGCCGAAGGCCGATGCTTAACCAGCTGAGCCACCCAGGCGCCCCTTGTATAATCTTTAACATAAGCAATAGCAGGGAGGACCATAGGGGAAGGGAGGGAAATCTGAAGGGGGAGAAATCAGAGAGGGAGATGAACCATGAGAGACTATGGACCCCGGCAAACAAACTGAGGGTTTCAGAGGTGAGGGGGGTGGGGGGGACGGGGTAACAGGGTGATGGGTATTAAGGAGGGCACATGTTATGATGAGCACTGGGTGTTATACTCAACTAATGAATCACTGAACACTACATCAAAAACTAATGATGTACTACTATACAGTGGCTAACTGAACATAATAAAATAATAAAATATATCTTTTGGTAATTAATTTCATTGATGAGAATTCTATGGCAATAAGACAAATGATCAAAGGTATAAGTGTTTATGTGGGGATTGCTTGAATTAAGGTATATCCAAATACTGGAAAATTATGAAGCTTTATGACCTGGATGTATGTTTATTACATGGAATATCAGTAGGTTCTTGGATGGTAGTTAGCAGGAGAAGTCAGAGATTATCTATAATTGATACTCCAACTTCCCCCAAGAACATTCTAGTACCCAGCTTTCTTCCTAAAGCAGCAAACAGTCCTTTGGCAGGCATTTTTAGGCAGTAGGAAATGGAAGTTTTGACAATTACTGTGGAAATCTTCATAACAGGAAATGTTCTCAATTTATAGGAATAGCCCATTGGAAATTGGGCTATCATAAGGCAGAGTCACTGGGGCCTGGACATGTCTCTGGTGACAGAGTTCCTGAGTGATTTTGACTAGTGGCTTCGATTTTGATCTAAATAATTTTTTTCCCATATGCTAACCTTTTGTTCATAACTTTTTAATTGAATAACCTTTCCATTTCCTAGGATTGGGGCTTTGCTGTTTGTTAAATGCCCCTGCTGTCTGTAGGTGCCTTCAGTCCCTAGGCCTTCTCTGAAATTCGGAAAGGTATTAAAGGTTATTTGTATCTCACCAATTCTTGGCATGCTCTTTTCCTTGAAACTCTAGAAGGTTCTGTGTCGTTACTCATAGGAGCATGATTTAACAGTGAAAGAATTGTAAAATATCATGATGACCTAGAGAGGGATACAACTGTGCCCAGTATCTGATAGCTAAACTTTTTATCTGTTAGGTCTTACTTGACTGGATGATGAAAATCGGGTACCACACATCCCGATACAGCCTTTCTACTTCCTTTCCCAGACGGCCTCTGGAAGTGGAGGGGGGCTGGTCACTGCAAGACACAGGAATAACTGTGGATACCGTACTCATTGTGGAAGAGAAAGAGCAGAGCAACTAATTAAGAAATGAGAACTACCTGTTCTCCATAAAATCAGTGATGCCATGACCTTACACGACAATAAAGGATTCACATGAAAATTACGCCATTCCTTGACCGAGCTCAAGAAGGTAAACACTTGAATGTTGATATCCTTGGGAACATATGGACATAAAGGATTAGAAAAGGATTGCTCTCTGCATATAATAGTTTTTGGAATGTGCTGTCTTATAATGTCCCAAATGAAAACTAGATAAAAATGTATACAGTAAGGCACTCAATGGTTTGTATTTTTCCTGGCTGACATCATTTATCACTATGTTGAAAAACAAAGTCATACAACTCTATTTTCTGCCTCTGCAGTCCACCTTGCCACACTGAACATTTCACAGTTCAAACTCTCTAAAATCTTTTAAGTAGGAATGTTTGTTCTGCTTCTAGAAATTAAACTTTAAAGACATTTCAAAGGTCTTTAATGCTTTAAACTTCTTTTTGATATCTGATAAAGGGTTAGTATCCAAAATGTCTAAAGAACTTACAAAACTCAACACCCAAAAAACAAATAATCCAATTTAAAATGGGCAGAAGACATGAACAGACATTTCTCCAAAGAAGACACAGATGGCCAACAGAGACATGAAAAGATGCTCAACATCACTGATCATCAGGGAAATGCAAATCGAAACTACAATGAGCTGTTAACCTCATACCTATCAGAATGGCTAGAATCAACAACACAAGAAACAACAGGTGTTGGCAAGAAGGTGGAGAAAAAGGAACTCTCTTGCACTGTCGGTGGGAATGCAAACTGCTACAGCCACTATGGAAGACAGTATGTAGGTTGCTCAAAAAGTTAAAAATAGAACTAGCTTATGATCGAGAAATTGCACTACTGGGTATTTGCCCAAAGAATACAAGAACACTAATTCAAAGGGATACATGGACCCCTGTGTTTATAGCAGCATTATTTACAATAGCCAAGATATGGAAGCAGCCGAAGTGTCCCATCAGTTGATGAATGGATAAAGAAGAGATGGTATACACACACACACACACACACACACACAATGGAATATTATTCGGCCATAAAAAGAATGCAATTTGCCATTTGCAGTGACATGGATGGAGCAAGAGAGTATAATGCTAAGCGAAATCAAAGAAAGACAAATACCGTATGATTTCATTCATGTGGAATTTAAGAAACAAAACAAAGGGGAAAAGACAAACCAAGAAACAGACTCTTAACTATAGAGAACAAACTGATGGTTGTCAGAGGGGAGGTGGGTGGGGGATGGTTGAAATAGGTGATGGGGATTAAGGAGGGCACTGGTCATGAGCACCAGGTGATTAAAATAAAAACTTAAATAAAAAAAGTTTTTTTAATAAAGATCTTTTTGAAAGGTATGTATTGTTTACTGAATTAATGTCAAGATTTATTTGATTTCACCTTGCATTAAATTGGAACATTTACAAGTTCTGGGATCAGTATTTTAAAAATAAAACAATGAAAACATTAAAATATAGGTGAATTTTTTAAATATATATATATCTCTGGTCATTTCATTTTCCTGCAGTGTTATAGTCATGTACTTTAATACCAAGTTCAACTCACAAGTGTGGGATATAAAAAGATCTTTGTTGTGGTCACTCCCTTTTTCTTTTCCTATGTGTGTTGTCAGTTAAGTTGACTCCTCTGTGTATTGGCCTCTCTTTAATGCTCCTTTTACCTCTTGTGTAGAATTTATTACACTGTATTATCGCTGTTTTTGTTTTCCCAAATACATAATTCCTTAAAAGCAAGGATTGTATCTTTTTTTTTTTCCTCCAGAAGTACTTAGTATATAGTAGATGCTTAATACATGTTTGAAAATAATAAGTCGTCTCAACGTCTAACTTTGTTTATTGGGTCTGGAATATCCCACATTGAAAAAAATGAAAAAGACTCATATTTTAAATTAATCATAAAAGGGTTGCAATTTTTCCCTTCCTACTACCTTCTTCTTTTTTTAAACATATAATGTATTATTTGTTTCAGAGGTACAGGAGGGTTCTAGAGGGGATGGGGTAGGGGGATGTGTTAGCCTGGTGATGGGTATTAAAGAGGGCACGTATTGAATGGAGCACTGGGTGTTATACGCAAACAATGAATCATGGAACACTACATCAAAAACTAATGATGTAATGTATGGTGATTAACATAACATACATAATAAAATAAAATTTTAAAAAAAGGGTTTCAAAACTACAAAGTTATAAAGATTTTTTTTTTTTTAAGATTTTTATTTGACAGACAGAGAGGGAACACAAGCAGGGGGAGTGGGAGAGGGAGAAGCAGGCTCCCCGCTGAGCAAGGAGCCCAATGCGGGGCTGGATCCCAGGACTCTGAGATCATGACCTGAGCTGAAGACAGCTGCTCAACCGACTGAGTCACCCAGGTGCCCCAAAACTTTACAAAGTTATAAAAACTAAAATCACCCATAATCTCAATATCCAGAAATAAGTGTGACTAAAATTATAGTTTTCTGTATGTCCTGCTGGACTTTCTATGCTTATGTATAACTGATTAAAAAAACAAAGGACCCCAAATTTTTAGACCCCTTGGAAAAACTGATTATTGTGAAAGCTACCAAGAAATTTTGCTCCTTAGGAACTGTGGTAGCTGGCCCCAAGGGGGGGGGAAATTTGTTACGTGGCAAGAGAAACTAGTACAAGAAACGGTCAGTACATTTTCCCTAACAGTATGAAGATGTCCTTAGGATGAATGACTTTTACCGTTCTGGGTAGATTCTTTGGTTTCTGTGGCTGGTAACTTGTCTTCTTTTCGAAGAGTCAGTAAGCGTCCAGTATATATATTTTTGTGTGTGTGTCCAGTATTCTTTAAAATAGACTCAAATGCAGATAGAAATACAAAAGATGAACACACGCTTCCATATTTACCTGTTCTGATCACAAACTTTCATAGGCTCTATTTTCAGTTGTCTGTTCACATCCATGTCCAAGGATACAGACTGGAAAATGTTTTTCATTAAAGAAAAATATGGGGCATCTGGGTGGCTCAGTTAAGCCTCCAGCTCTTGATTTCAGCTTGGGTCATGATCTCAGGGTTGTGAGATTGAGCCCTGCATTGGGCTCCACGCTCAGCAGGGAATCTGCTTAGATTCTCTCTCCCTCTCCCTCTGCCCCTCCTCCCCTAAAATAAAATCTTCTATAAGTATTTTTTTTTTTAAAGATTTTGACAGAGTGAGAGAGCACAAGCAGGGGAGAGGCAGAGGGAGAGGGAGAAGCAGACTCCTTGCCGAGCAGGGAACCCGACTTGGGGCTCGATCCCAAGGCACCCCTAAAATAAATCTTTTAAAAAATCTTTGTTCTTGTTTAAAAAGCCAAAATTTTAGTAATTAACAAATGGTCCTTAAAATTTGTAGAATAGTTTCTTCCTGTCCCCCCAATTTCTTTCTTTCTTTTTTTTTAAATTTGAGACGGAGAGAGAGAACACAAGAGGGGGTAGGGTGAGAGGAAGAAGCAGACTCCCTGCCAAGCAGGGAGCCCAGTGCGGGACTCCATCCCAGGACTCCGGGATCACGACCCGAGCCGAAGGCAGTCGCTTAACCAACTGAGCCACCCAGGCGCCCTGTGTCCCCCCAATTTCTAACACAAAAATCATTAGGGCCATTTCTTTATGTGGTGATACATTTTTCTTTTCTTTAAACAAAGAAAAAACTCTATGTTGCATGGATAGCTAAAGGGCTAATGATAGATGCTTAATTGTTTCCTTGGTTACAAAAGCTAATTCTTCTGGGTGTAGGGAAAGGAATTACAGATGCCTTAAATCTTTAGATTCTTGGTTAATAATATTATTCTTTTATACCATAGTCTCTTGCAATGAGTTGGAAAAATACAGACATAATTAAGGAATTATTATTTTTAGGTATGATATTGGCATTGCGGTTAGGTGAGAAAGAAAAAATCTCTATAAAGATACATGCTACAATAGATAGGACTTATGGTAAAATTTTGCTTCAAAATGGGGAGAGGGCAGTAGGTGGGGGTATAGCTGAACAAATATTAAATGTAAGTAAAAGATACATTGGGTTACCTTATACTCTTCTTTCTAATTTTGTATAAGTTTCCATTATATCAACAGGCTTCAGATCTTTAAAAAGGACAGACCTGTAAGTTTGTCAGGTGATATATGAGAAAGCTGTGACTAAAATAGCTTTAGATTAAAAAAAAGAATAGCCTGAGGGAAAACTAACTTGAATCCTATTTCGATTTGGCCTGCTTATTATTGTTTTTAATAATATACTTCAGTGGAGGACTGAAATTGAAAAACTTAAAAGACCTACATCTTACATACACTAAAGAATATTCTATTTAAACATAGCAGGCAGTCAAAATGACCAGGAGTGCACTATATAACCTATTTCTCTCTAGCACACAAGCCACATATCTTTATTTAGAGAATTTCCTCTAATTTTGTTATTCTTCATCTCTGTTCATGCTTCACTTTTTTTCTTTTTTAAAGATTTATAATTTTAAAAAATATTTTGTCAGAGAGAGCGGAGCGCACAAACAGTGGGAACTGCAGGCAGAGGGAGAAAGCAGGCTCTCCAGCAAGCAGGGAGCCCAATGGGGGACTCGATCCCCGGACCCTGGGATCATGACCTGAGCCAAAGGCAGACGCTTAACTGAGCCACCCAGGTGCCTCTAAGATTTATTTATTTGAGAGAGATAGGGAGAGTGGGGAGGGGGGTGCTGAGGGAGAGAATCTCAAGCAGACTGCCCCCTGAGTGTGGAGCCTGACTGGGGGCTCAAGCTCCTGACCCTGAGATCACTCCCGGGGCAGAAACCAAGTCAGACGCTCAGCCAACTGAGCCACGCAGGTGTCCCATGCTTCACTTTGTAATGGACCCATGCGGCACATAACTCATTTGAGTTTGATAATACAATAGTTACCTGTTATCAAAAAACAACATAAATGTCACTTTAGGTTGCCCAACTATTATGCCTGTGATACTAGGGGTTATTTTGTCATGGGAGAAAATAAAAAAACATAATGCCATCTTTTTCTAAAGGGAAAAAAAAAACCTTTCTGAAGGGAAAAAATTTTTTTTTCTAAAGGAAATTTTTTTTTTTTTTAATGTGACATTCTCCTTTAAAGGCGGGGAGGCAGGGGAACTAGTCTAAATCAGTTAATTGTTCGGCCAGCTGAAACATCCTAAAAATAAGTTCTAAACCATCCAGCAGTTTTGGACTTCTCAGGATAAAGCAAGCTGCAAAGAATGCTTCTCTCACTCTAACAAGAAACAGCTGGATGATACACAAAATCGTAACATTTTTTGAGCCTCCGATCGCTGAGGCTGCAAAGAATTCACGGAACCTGGGGGCGCCTGGGTGGCTCAGTCGTTGAGCGTCTGCCTTCAGCTCAGGTCATGATCCCAGGGTCCTGGGATCGAGCCCCGCATCAGGCTTCCTGCTCGGTGGGAAGCCTGTTTCTCCCTCTCCCACTCCCCCTGCTTGTGTTCCCTCTCTCGCTGTCTCTCTCTGTCAAATAAAATCTTAAAAAAAAAAAAAAA